TATCCTGTCTGGCTACTGACTATTTAATTTTCTGAGTAAATGCAATAGCATTATTTACACCTTTGGTCTTAATAAGTATGTCCTTTTTTTTGTAGTGACAACACTTTAAACTTCCACATTAGCCTTATCAAGGTCAAAGTTTGCCTTCATCGTCTTTAGCACCTTTGCAAAGGCCTGCCCTTCAGCCATCTTCACCACTTCTACTGTTGTCGCGTCCGCTATATTCTTCTTGTTTGTTTTGTCTTTTAGAAAAATCTTATCTTGATTGCCACTGCCTGTTTTCTTTCTCTTTAAAACATGGTAAGCTGGCGGTTCTCAGGGCTGTCCGATGGGCTCCTGTTTCTTTTACTTCGTTCTATTTCCTTTAGGGCAGTGATTAGGGCTTTTTTTTCACATGTCGTTGGAAATTATCTCGTTTTTGTTCCCGCCACTCCAGAGATTTAACTGACGCCTTCCAAGAGTTTGCAAACACTTCTTCTTCAGAAAGAAAGCTTTTCCTCATCACCTCTGCCTCTTCAAGATGTTTAAGCGCGTCTTTAAGCCCCTTCTTATCAGCGTTCGCTGTGTTACTATACTTTTCGTTGATTGCTTTTAGCGTCTGTGTAATATGTTTCGTTGCTGATTGGACTTCATCAGTAACTTGCTGTCACTTAACTCTGAGCCAGCGACACTTCCTTCTAGAGAGGCAAGCTCTTCCTGGGTCTGGTGGCTAAATACCGACACGTTGCTGTCCTCGGTGTCGTTAGTGCCTATGCTTGACAGGCTTCCTTTTTGTCCTTTGTCCGTTAGAAAGGGCCATGGAACATCGAGCAGTCCCTGTTGGCCATAAGACACGTCTTTGTGGCCCTCCATAGAATCCGTAGGGCCTGCGTCAGTCACCCGGGCTCTCACTGGATTGGAACTGCCAGCGGATTTTCTCGGAGAGGTTACTCTGTTACCAGAGAGAACCGCTACTACTACATCCCAGCGAGACAAGCGGCAGGTGTACAGTCCCACGACCACGCAGACAACCCGACAAAACGAGCTGGCGTAAGGCACCAAGGTGCCGCCGTCTAGCCTCCTCAGTGGTAGTAAGCCTAGATTAGTAGGCTCACTACGTCTTTTTTGCTTATGAGGCGTACAGCCATATCAGATGTGGTTACCCAGACTTACCACTACCTCATCGTCTAGCTACACCTGCCGCCAGGTCTCCAAGGCCACCACGGAAAAGGACCTCCCACCCGCAATCTGGAACAGTCCGTAAGTATTCCTGTGTTTGTTTAGTGAGAGTGTGATGCATGTATCTGAAAAGAATGTTATAACCGCCGCTTACTTCTATACACGACGGCTGCTAGTGTTGTTGTCCCGCATCAAGCATTGGAGCGCCATCTACGGCGGCAGCAGAAAGCGAAGAACAAAGGAGCGCAAGCAGGTTCCGCCCATGCATCCACAAAGATGAAGACAGAGGGCACGAGCCCCCCGTCCACACCGCTACAGACACACACGCCAACGCCACAAACGCCCCCTAATCGACGCCCACGACTACCACCGCAGCAAGTTACCCCAACTTCTCATCGTCACCTCATATCTTAAGGGGATGCCCCTATCTGCCACCCGGGGGAGCGGCTGGTATTGAGAATCTAGCAAAACCCCACCTCGAAGTAGTCGTAGTAGTTTTAGTAGTAATAGTAGTTGCAGTAGTAGTAGCAGCAGTAGTTTTTTTTTTGTGGAGGGAGGAGAAATGCGTTGAGTTACACCGCAGGGACAGCGGTAGTGTGGGACTCGGTGGATTTTTTTATTCGACCACTCATACCCACCAAAACCCCCTCATGCCGCGTAAATTTGATCCACCCCGGAACCGCGTTAGCATTCCTTCAGGGTGGAGCCACTAGGGAGACCATCGCGCCTCATAGCATTAACGAGCTAACTTGCCACCATTTACTAGAGCTGCTGATGCTTTCGAGTCCTTAAAAGAACTCGGGGTCCCTGAGGACCAGCACCTTGTCTAGTGCTTTAAAGTAGGCCGCCTCCTTAGCCAGCGCCACTATAAGCTTAATGCTTTCCCTTGTTAATAGGTAAAAAGTACCCAGCGCAGTGTGGGTCCACATGAGCCTGTCTTTCAACTCAAGGCATTTTTGCCTTATTTTGATCTCGCTTGGGCCTTATCCCTGGCCTCTTCTAGCGCTTTTGTGTATTAAGGGCAGCTCCCACTGCCTGCTTCGTGCTTGTTGTCCGTCGTTAGGCAAAGGAAGCACCGTGCTGGGCCCGGACACTCTTTCTTCCGGTGGTTTGAGCTTCCACCCCAGAAGCAAAGCTTTGATTGTTTTCTTTCTTACAGTTGCATAAGACGTGTCCATATCCCAGGCATTTGTAACATCTTGTTACTTTAATTCTTCTTTGTATTCGGCAGCTTACGAAGCCAACACGTAACCTGCCTTCCTTTTCTACTTGTTTGGCAGTTGCTTCGTCCACCTTTATCAACGCCAGCCTCTGTCATCTGGCGTTTGACTTTTAGAGAGCTACTTCTGGCTCCTAGCTCTGATGTCCAAAAGTCCTAGCGAAAGCCTCTTTTACCTTATCTTCCTCTACAATGGCATCCAGGTCTAGGACCTCTATGGTCACTTTTCTGTTGCTCATTTTGACAGTACCCTGTCCGGCTACCGACTTTACAATTTCCTGTGAGAATGCAGTAGCATTCTCTACACCTTTGGCCTTAATGAGTATGTCTCCTTTTTTTGTAGTGACGACACTTTGGACTGCCACATTAGCCTTATCAGGGTTAAAGTTCGCCTTGATCGTCCTCAGCACCTTTGCAAAGGTCTGCCCTTCGGCCATCTTCACTACTACTGTTGTTGTCGCTTCCACTTTTTTCTTCTGGCTTGTTTTTGCGTTCAGGAGTATTTCTTTTTGTTTGCCACTGCCTGTTTTCTTTTCCTTTGGAGGCATGATTTGCTGGCGATTCTCAGGGCTGTCCGATGGACTCCTGTTTCTTTTACTTCGTTCTATTTCCTTTAGGGCATTTTCAGGGTTCTTTTCTGTACCTGCCGTCGGAAATTATCTCGCTTTTATTCTACTTCAAAGATTTAAATGACGCCTTTCATTCGTTTGCATACACTTTTTCTTTATACAGAAAGCCTTTTCTTAGCACGTCTTTCTCTTGAAGGTGTTCAAGCTCGGCTTTTAGTCCATTTTTAACAGCGTTCGCTGTGTTGCCGTACTTATCGTTGATTAATTGTAGCGTCTCTGTAATATCTGTCGTTGTTGATTGGACTCTATCAGCCAATTGCTGTCGCTTAACTCTGAGCTTAGCACCATCTTCTTCTAGAGAGGCAAGCTCTTTCTGGGTCTGGTAGCTTAATATCGACACGTTGCAGTCCTCGGTGTCGTTAGTGCCTATGCTTGACAGGGTTCCTCTTCGTCCTTTGTCCGTTTGAAAGGGCCATGGAACATCGAGCAGTCCCTGTTGGCCATGAAACACGTCTTTGTGCCCCCCCCCCCCAAAATCCGTGGGGCCTGCGTCAGTCACCCGGGCTTTCACCGGAACGGAATTGCCGGCGAATACCCTCAGAGAGGTTACCGCCTGGGGTTATAGTTTAACATCGACGTTTTTCATTTTGGCATCTTTTTTAGTGTCGTACTGACCCGCGAGGGCCAGCACTACCCTTTTTTTTAGAAATAAGTATTTGGAAAGGGTTTAAACCAGCGCAGCAGCCCTCTCTGTTACCAGAGAGAACCGCTACTTGTTCGGGCCGGCCGGAAGTCGCCACTCTCCCTCAGTCCCACCCGCGGAGACTGCCCTGGCGTTGACTAACAAGAGTAAGAATGGTGTTTGTGTGTAATGTATGTATATGTTGGTACACAACGGTCATCCCAGCGAGACGAGCGGCAGGTGTACAGTCCCACGACCCCGCAGACAACCCATTAAAACGGGCTGGCGTAAAGCACTTACGTGCCGCCATATAGCCTCCTTAGTGTTAGTATGCCTAGATTAGTCCGCCCACCACGTCTTTTTTGTTTATGAGGCGTGCAGCCATATCAGATGTGGTTACCCAGACTTACCTGGGCCTTATCATCCGGCTTCACCCGCCGCCAGGCCTTCAACGCAAGCCCGGAAAAGGACCTGCCACACGCGACCCAGAACAATCCGTAAGTGTCCCTGTGTTTGTTTAGTGAGAGTGTGTGATACATTTATCTGAGAAGAATGTTTTAACCACCGCTTACTTCTATACACGTTGGGTGCTAGTTTTTGTTCGCCCGCATCAAGCAATGGAGTGCCATCTACGGCAGCAGCAAAAAGCGAAGAACAAGGAGCACAAGCAGAGCCGGACCATGCATCCACACTGATGGAGACATGGGGCACTAGTCCCTCATCCACATCGCCGCAGAAACACACGTCAACGCCACACACGCCTTCCGATCCATGCCCCAGACCACTACCACAGAGAGCCACCCTAGCTACCCATCGTCACCTTAAATTTTAAGAGGATGCCCCTATCCGCCACCCGGGGAAGCGCCTGGTATGGGGAAACTAGCGAAAACCCCACCCGGGAGCAGCAGCAGTAGTAGAAGTTTTAGTAGTAATAGTAGTAGTAGTAGCAGCAGCAGTAGTTTTTTTTTTTTGCTTATGCAAAAAAAATTTTTATTCTCTGCGATTACAAAAAATCAAAAAATTAGTTGTTCTTATAACAATTATTTCAGCCATGGCAAATATTTAACATCTTGCCAGAACTTTTCATAAAGAAAGTTAATTTTTTTACTTTGTCAAGAAGGCAAGATAAATGCTCTGAAAAAACTAGGGCTTGGATTTAACCGAACAAGTGGAAACTTAAAAAACATTTTACATGTTTTGACTCTTAGTTGGATTCGACCTTTGGTTTATTGGCGCACTGACAGAAAACTTTGTCATGTAGACAACAAAGATATTGAAGATCTCACTAAAAAAATTTATTAAATTTAAATTGGATTATAAATAATCATGAATATATTCATAAATCTTACAAACTTATTCCTTTATTTTACAGCTATCTATTTCGGAGTATCGGAAACGAAAGCAACAGTCGCTTGGTACACCACCAGAATCAGAAAATTTAGTGACATCCATAAACAACCCAAGCACCATACAAGACGATTTAGAAATAATGAGCAGTGGGGCTTCATCAACTAGCTCAGACGAAGAAAATGTTTCTAAAATGTCTTTGGAAGAATCAAATTCTAGTGGTCAGCCTACATTTCATGCAGCAGAAATCGGTGAGAAAAAAGGTATTTTTCACACTTTGATGAGTTTTGTAAGTTGCTCAGCTATTAAATTTTTATTTATTTTTATTTACGCTTTGAGGAAAAAAAAAAAAAAAAAGTAAGGAATATTACCCGTTTTTTTACGTGTCTATATCTACGTTGAAGTTTTCTCAATAAAACGTATTATACGCTTTAAAACCTTATAAAAAAGTGTCTAAATTGTAAAATATAAATTACACAAGTATTAACACTTAAAAAACTCTATTTTTTTGTACTCACGCTTTTTTTGTTTTCCGCTCAATTCACAGTATGTATTAGTTCAAAATAATAAATTTAAGCCAATTGCTTAACATTACTGCATTTCTCAGTCAAGAATTTGATGTTAAAACTTCTGATAAAAATATGTCATATTATGAATGATTATTATTCAGAAAAAAATTTTTCTAAAAATAAGAAATTTGAATCCTCAAAAATTAAAAATAGTATTTCAACAGAAGTTGACAGTTGAATAAGTAATACGTTCAACATAAAACAAAAAAGAACATCTTATAATAACTCAATAGTTAATCATACTAAAACTAAGCAGTTTGAAAGCTCATGAGATAATAGCTTATATCAAACAGATGGGATTAGATGATTAAATTTTTTTTTTCTTGTATAATAAAGAAATTTTGTTAAAAAATAAAATTTTCATGTCAATTTAATTATTAGCAATAAATATTTTAAAAATGTTGAAAATTATAGAAATTATTTCGAAGTAATGATCAACTCAGAAACTTATGGTACGTCAATTAAAATACAAAGTTTTGTAGATATAATAAATCGACACATTGCAATTATTGTTGAAAATTGTATCAACGTGTTATGTTTTGATGATTGTTCAAATGATTTTAAATTGAATATCTAATTCTTAGGAAATGTTGTGTAGTTTATTCTTTTAATAAAATACGAATTTTGGTTTTCAATAAAAGTTGTAAAATTCGTGCGCGCAAATTGACAAAAGAATGTATAAAGAAAAGACTTTCGGAATATATAAAAAAATCTCCAGTTTTTTGCGCGTACAGCTTCACTTCTCACGAAACTCTCTCTCTCCGATCGCACGTCGCTTCAACCCTCGTTTTTAACCCTAAAAAGAAAATTGAGATTGACTACAAGCTTGCGTCAATCGTGAGAAATTATCGTCTCCCAGCGAGGCATTAACGATATTTCGTGGCAACGAAAAAAACGGTCCTGCCTGCCCAGCAGACCCGAAAAAGCCGAGCTCCTTGCTCGCATCTTTTTTCACGTTAAATAAATCTAAGCGACAGATTCATCGCGACCATAGTTCCTCGCAAGGTACAATTATTGTTTTAAACACCATATACTTACATATATATTAATTTACTTAAGCATATTTTGTTATTCTCACTCATGATTTACTAATGTACAACCCTTTGACACAATAAATCAGTTTTTTTGCCGAAAGACTTTTTCCTGCAGTAAGCTTCTTTCATTCTATACTTATCTTGTTTTGAATACTCAAAAATTATCCCCTAATTAAATTTAAAGAGCGACGCTTGACCCCTGGGGTCTTACTCTCTACATGGCATTTAATTTTTAATTTGAAAACATCAGTGCATTCTACGTTACAGGAACTGTAGATTCAGGTATATTAGAGTTATTGTTTTATCAAAATAGTAGTATTCAAAGAAAACTACAAAATCATAAATACATTCAATCTAAAAAATGAAAAAAATCTTAACATAAAAATTCAGTAATACATATAATAATGAAAGTTTAAATCAAATTTTAAATACTACTATGAATGGAAACAATGATTTATTAGTAAATCCTGCGTTTTATGGTGAAACAAGTTGTACGTGTATGTATTGTTTAGCAGTATTTTGGCCAGAAGAAAGAAAAAAGTCAACATGTTGTCATAAGGAAGAATTTCGTCTTAGTCCGTTAAGTAAATATAATTTAGAATTGAAATGACTTCTACTTTATAATAAAAATTTTAATAGTAGTTTTCCTACGAGTTTGAAAAGTCTCTGTGTGCGAACCGAGAGGTTTGCGGCCCGAGCCGAAGGCGAGGGACGTAACGAGGTTCGTAAAGGAGACTTTTCGAACGAGTTCTGGAAAACTGCTTTTTCACCCGAGGAAGTACCAGCTTCCCAAAACCACCCGAGGGCGGAAAAATACTTATCAGGTACTACAATAATGTGTTCAGTTTTGCATCTTTAATAAGTAGAGAAAAAGTAACAAAAAGAAAAAAATGTATATAATATCAAAATTCAAAGACAAATTTGTCATATTGCACAAAACAAATTATATTATGATCTTAAGAAAAACCCAAAAAATAGTAACTATATAATAAATACGGCTGATTCCGCCGTAACTTGCTCAGATCTACTTTAAAAAATTTTTTAAAAAGAAGTTGGTTAAAAAAAAATTTTTTCATGGTATTTCTACTGTACACAACATCAGTGACAAAATTTAAATTGATGCAACTATAAAATTTGCTGGTCAAAAGTTATACGAAATTTTATAAAGTCAGTTTTCATCGATTTTCGAAAAATTGTATCACTTTCCAGCACGTGTAGCTGAGCTCTTTCAACAGTTCGAGTGTTCTTACTGGGCTTAAATAAAAGCTGGGATTATTAAAAAACTGCTAAATTATGAAATGATTTTTTGGTTTTAAATTGGCCAGAAAAAGCATACAAATAATAAACCATTGACTGCAAAATGCAATTATATTATAGTTTCAAACTGTTGACTTCCAGGGAGCTTCGATCTTTGTGTATACCTAAAAGAATTACTTGATAATTATCCTAAAGAAATATTTTTGAATAAACAATCTCATTCTATCGATCCCATGGTGTTTCCATTAATTTTTCCCTTAGAAGATTTAAGATAGAGTACTGGTTATTTTAAAAATTTGTTAACTTAGAGTGAAAAACTAACTATGTTACAATATTATTCCTACAGACTGTCTAACAGACCAAATGAAACATATTTTAATCGATTATTATATGGGGCATGGCTGACAACAATTTTTTATTCATTCTTACATCATGATTGAATACAACCGTTTAAATTATTTGAAATGTAATCGAAAAAATTTAAGAATTTAATGTTATTAAGGTTAATTAGACGCGATTGTTAATAGTGCATCTAACATTTCTAAAAATTTCGAGACAATGGAAAAAATTGGAAATCTTTTTATACTCTCATCTACATACATTGGAAGTACAAGATATATGCAGAAACATTATCAAGATGCAATGTCTATGATGAGAAATTATGGTAGACCAGATTTATTTGTAACAGTTACATGGTTTTCTAAATAGAAAAAAGTAAAGTTAATTTTATCAAAATTTCCTAAAAATGCGACACCAAATGATGTTACAAACATAACTGTTAGACTATTTCACTTCAAATCAATGTCAGTTTCAGATGACATCATTAAAAACAATATATTCGGTCAAGTATTGGCATACGTCTATACCATCGAATTCAAAAACGTGGTCTACCTCGTGCACACAATTTTATAACTTTTCATCGTGATAACTAAATTATTACTCCTGAACAAATTGATACAATTATTTAGCTGAAATTTATTCTGGTAACACAAAACTTACATAATTAGTGATTAAAGACATGCCTTATGGACCTCATACAAAACAAAGATTTTGTATGATTAGTAAAAATGTAGAAAAAAATTTCTAAAATACTGTGCAAACGTAACTTCATTTTAAACAAACGATTACCCTGAAAATAAAAGAAAATATAATCCTTCGGAACAACATGTTCATAAACTTTAAAGAAAAGAAAAAATTTTAGTATATAATTCAATGGTTGTACCGTACAATAAAATTTTGTTGATGAAATATAAATGTCATCTGTTCAAAGTATAAAATACATTCATGACTACATACATAAAGGTAGTGATGGAGCATACCTCAAAATTCAGAAATTAAAACACTAAGATGAAGAAATATTTGATAAAATTAATAGTAACAATGATGCTAAGTATGTAGGTACAATGTCAACAGCTTGAAGATTGCAAGAATTTCGAATTTGCGGTAGAAGTCATACAGTTCTAAATTTAGCTGTTCACCTTAAAAACAAACAAAAACTTGAATTCGAAGACAATGAAATTAAAACTGTTATAGAAAACTACGAAACAGATTCAACAGCTTGGTTCAAATTATAAGCTTGATGACTTTGCAAAATCCATAATGTATGTAAAAATTCTAGAATACTACATTTTTTATAATACATTAAAAATTTGGAAACGAAGAAAAAATGTAATAAAAAATACTGCAATAGGTAGAGTAAACATTGTATCTCCAAAAGTTTATAATAGATTTTTTTTAAACTTGTTTTAAGTAGAGTAACTGGTTCAACATCGTTCAAAGATATTAGAATATACAAAGGAATAACATATGAATCTTCCAAAGATACTGCAATTGCAATGGGTTTAATAGACAATGATGAAAAAAAAGATAACATTTTAAGAGAAGCCATTGCTGTTATGTTTCCATATCAATTAAGACAATTCTTTGCTTGGTTTTCAATTTCAGAAAACGTTTAAGGTGATAAATTATGGAATAAACATGAAGAATTTTTTTAAGAGGATTTGCCTGATTATGAAGATAATTTTGCTTGTTCACATATTGAACAAATTTTAGAATCAGAAGATAACTAACGTTAATTTTGTAATTTACTTACACCAAAAAAAAAGGAAAATAAAAGAGAAGATATAGATAAAGAAATACGTTTCACCAAAGACATGTTTAGTTCTATGTATAAAAGTTCAAATAATGACTAGAAAAAAATATTTTATTATTTGCGTACAAAAAAATAATATTTTCCTTATAAATGGTACGAAGGGTCGGGAAAAACTTATTTATATAAAACGTTAGTTAATTTTTTTTTTTCAAAAAAACAAAAATTATGTCGATGGCATGGACTAGCATAGCATGGATTTTGCTGCAGAGAATAAGTCATAGAACTTTGAGACTTCCTTTAGATCTCAGTAA